ACAATGCCCGGCGGGTCGAGTCGGGTTCGAGGTTCCGCCGTTTGCGGCGCGAGTGAATTCGTAGCGGGTTTTGATTTAACCGAGGTTTAACCTGGTCCGGAATTCGGTTCGCGAGTGTGTTCCGAGTCGAATTTTATTCTGGCGGGGGGGTCCATCGGACGGTGGATATTATTCCGGAGGCTTCCCCCGGGCCGTCAGATAACTCCGATGACACCAGTCCCTAATAGGCTTCACCTTCCCGAACTTCGAAGCATACAAAATATATTGCTCTTCAAGCGGCGCGACTGCAGTCTGGCCCTGTCCGACGGGTATCCGACACGCTGAGTTTCTCGATCCGTTCCAAGACGCGTATTTGTCGAGTTTCCTTATGGATCCAGCCCCGTTGGGGGTCTCGTAATTGGGCCCAAAGCAAGACCCCTTTTGTAGGGAGTGCTTCTGAACAGCGATACCAGGCTTGTAATCCTAACACAGAAACACTTGGCAACCTGATTCTGGACTAGTTAATTCTCCATCTTATTCTGACCCGCAGCTGTACCGGGTCAAGTCCCTGGGGGCGGTGACCGTCACATCCACCGACCCGGCCGCCCAGCCGACAGTCGACTTCGCGTACTTCGCCCATCCGACGACGTTTCTGACGGCATGGAAGGCGTCCGCATCCTCGAAGCCGTCCGCGACTCCCGCGCCCTGAACCCCCTGAAGTGCGAAAAAGTGCCCGGGACGATGCTCCGGCTGGTCCCCGGCCTGGCGAACTTTCCCCCCGGGGCGTACCCGCGCGCCCTGCCGCTGAATCCCGACCTCGACAACGAGTCGGCGGCTGCCACGTGGCTGGAGGAAAACTTGTGCACAAGCTGGCACATGCACGGCACGTGCCGGGTGGGGGAGGTCGTGGAAAAAGAGCACCGGGTGAAAGGCGTCGGCGGACTGGCGTAATGAACGCGTCGGTCTTCCGCCACTCCCCGGGGACTAATCCCATGGCCACCATCATGGCCATTGGGGGGGCCGCTCGGCCTGAAGGAGAAAGCTGCGAAGGCGAGGCCCGGGCGAGTGGTCTCTTAAAAGTTTACGGTACCAAGGTTGCGCAAGTGATCTGTATATCGCTTAAAAAGAGAGCTTGGATTTTTGGCTTTGCCCGATCTGGCTGGTATAACTGACAGCTTGAAGCACTTAATCTAAGAGATTCAGTTAGGATGCAACGATGCAGCGATGCCAGTATGCACGACGGAAGCTCAGTGAGTGACTATACTAGGATTGCTTGCAGTAGCAGGGAGACAGTTTGAATCCGGTCTTTGAGACAGTGAGATTGTTCGGGATTGAAATTAAGTCGGATTCTACTTTACTAGGATCTGCACGCTCACGTGCATATAATTTTCCGAACATAGAATTGCCGTGCCGGCTCGTTCATGTGCAGGCTGCCTTCTTGATGTCCTCGTATGAGTACGTCATGCACCGTTTCAGGCGTGTACGTCTATTTCTGCGAGGTGTCAGATTTAAAATGATGCAAGTGACCTTGTGACATCATTTGATCGGCCGCAAGCCGGCCATTGCGCCTTTTACATGACATGAGCTAGCCGGCACGAGCACGATTATATACTACTGTTGGTTGTATGATACAAGTCAACCAGCGTGAGTTTAAATAGCATCCCCGGCTTTCACACGCGGATCAGCGTACCGAAAAGCCGCGCCCATGCTATGAGTCTACACGACTTCTGATGATCAGCGATGCAGGCTGCAACCGAGTCTCTAGCAGCCTCTGTCAACCGCATGCATGTGAGGCTGCGACGTATGTTGAGTGCGTTCTCACTGACATCGTTATCTAGATTGAAAGCTTTGGGACTCTGCTGCATGACGTGATACATTAAGCTGAACGAGTCACTGAGTCCGAGTTGACTGTCGTTCAGACAGCGGCTGCTGCACCCCTAGCAGCCCCATAGCATGTGAGCAGACGGGATCGATCGACTCACTGTGCACGCATGCTTTTGGCCTGCAAGCTGCAGTAGAACGCACGTTTCAACGGAGATGAGCCGCACTTACGATTTAATTCAGTTCGCAATAAAACCTTCGTTGTGCACACGTTGCATGATCCAATTATAGCCTTCAAATGCAGGATTAAGTTAGGAATGAAGGAACTTTCCGTTCGTCAGTGAGTCCGCCTGCCAGCCTGAGGATTGTACGTCAGCAAAGCGGCAGCGGGCCATGTGCAGCCGCGGCTAGCACTGAGCAACCCTATGTGAAACAACTTGTCTAAACCCCTAACGAGGTAATCAGAGTCGGAAATCAGACGTGCGCGACCAGAGGCATCTCAGTTTCCCAAGCTGTCACGGATACTCTGTCATTGATTAAATCAATTGTATGCAACCCAACGCTTGAGTGTACGGGTATGTACGGTTCTTTTGTTCCGTGTCAGTGAGGCTAGCGTGTGTACCTAACAATCCAACACGTCGGTTGACACTAATATGTATTAGAACAGAGTCGAGCTATTTCGTTGATGTACGTACACTATGTTCAACCTAGAACTTCAAGATGTTCAGTCTCAATGTACATAATCTATCCGTGCAAGACCAGACTCATCATACTACGAACAAATAGCCATCCACGTTACCTCTCCACAGAGCAACCCATGATAATCAGTGTCCGATGTGCTTTAATAGTTGTTTACTGTATTACAGCGTGAGAGACCCTTGTCCTTATCAAGGGGATCATTAAGTGGATAAATACTGCATGTCAATATCTGCTAAACCTTGCCGGTGGCTTCAGCTACATGCCCGCCCGGGCCCAAGCTGAATTGCATCGGTGGCTGTAACCCCGGCCTGAATACAAGGTACAAAAATGGGAAGATACTGAGAAAGGAGGAGACTTGACAACACTTTTAAAGCCACACGTATGCTTCCAAGACCGACGCTGAAACCAAGGAACTAGAAAAGACCTCTCCTTTTCGTACTGAAGGGATGAGGGCGTCGATTGCCAACGCCGACAAGAGCATAAATGCTCAGCGGGCTGCTAAAGCCTTGTAATATTCAGCACTCAAGCAACTGCAAAACATCGCCCACGTCTTTCTCTTACAAGCGCTCTGACCAGCACGACTCGTCACCCAGACTACCTTCCGCAGACTTTGCTGCAGTCGCTCTGACGACAGAGAAGGGTATTTTGCCAGCAATCGCCACTTGCTTTTAATTCAAGCTTCTCTACACGAGAAACTGGTTGACGTAGGCAGCCTCGGGAAATTAGCGTACAAGCGAGCGATGCAAGAAGCTCACTGGAAGTGAGGACCTCGGACGACAACCAACATATGAGTCCACGAATTGTCCTGGGAACCCCTTCCAAGCTGAGTATAATCTGAAGCTGCCTTTTGGGCGTTCAAGATGTTCTGGAAGCTCTATCCTAATGAAACATCGGGGGACACATATCCTAGCACTCAAGAAGGAGTGAAGTCTTTACCGCGTTTGGTAAGTGGTTGAATCCGATAACTGCGCCAGAGCTAGCCTGATGTCCTAGGGACGTCGAGGTCCTCTGGCAAGTCAAACTCCCAGTCCCAACTGTGTGTCAGACAGCCAGTATCAGACCGGAAAAAGTAAGATTTGGCCAGTCGGACTGCCTTAGCTTGCCAACGGCCTCCACTTTGGAGAACCCAATCTCTTAAAGCATTTGTGGCCTGGTGCACTGGTATAGTACACCCTGACTATTAACCCAAGAAGACAATTGGCAATCACGGATTCCACCGACCTGCTTAAACATTCAAAGCCTGCGAGCTGCTTGCAGAGATAGGACCGTCGAAAACGTTACGGAACATGCCAATCAGCCCGGAGAGCGGGAGAAACGAGACTCCCTAAAGAGCACGACACGCAAACACTTGCGCTTTGCCACCAAGTTGGTCTTTGAAGAGGCTAAAATACCACTTTCAACTATCGTTGAACTTGTCAAAGTGTAGCTTGGCATCTCCACAGTCAAAATGGATATCTGCCCGGTTTGCTAATTGCAGGCTCTTACCATTTGGGTCCCTCGGCCAGGAGCTGGTCTGCGTCGAACGAGGTTTTTGCTTTCTTTCCTAGCCTGGCAAGAAAAGACAAGCAAAAATCAGGCGCAACAGATACCACCAGAGCACTGCGATCTCCAAACGTTTACCCACCTATCGATTCATGCCATCACCAGAGCACTGCGATCTCCAAACGTTTACCCACCTATCGATTCATGCCATCGGCTGCCTGCAGGAATGGCGTGAGGATGATGCAGGGCGGGTAGGTCGCCCATGCATTGAGGCGGAACAAGCACAAGGTGATCTTTTCAAAAAGCGTCTCATTAACCGTGTCCTCTACATTACGGTGGCTCAGTAGCAAGCAGCAGCCAACGAAGATGGAGCGCACCTGAAGGGTTTCTTAACTACAAGGCTTGGAGACCGCCGTCGAGCCCGCGGACGCAGGCTCTCATCCGACTCAGCCCTCCGCCTGTACCCCCGAGGTCGACTCAAGATTGTTCAGTGTTCAGTTAGGCAGCTAAAAAGCTCCGAATTGCCCACGATCTTGCGAACGAAACGATGGGAACCACACGGGACCACCTTACTCTGGATGATCAGATGCCGTGACTAAGGTGGCTGTTCAGACCCCTTGCGCTTCGAGCCCTGTAAGCAGGGACTTTTCAATGCAACTAACGCCAAAATTTTCAAGACACGCAAGCGAAGCAACTTCAGCGTAAGTCTAGACATCAAGGAAAGTGAAACTTTTTAAAAGAGCAAAACCAACACCAGAACCCAACCTGAGGAGAAGATATATATATGAGAACTCAGGCCACCCGTCTGCAGAAGCGGCATCGCGACGTCGACGTGATGAGGTTTGTTAAGGATCCATTAGAATCTGATCAAAGTATCTGAACGGGACCTGCCAAACCCTCCACCGCATGGACGCACTTCTTCTGAAAAATCCAATGTTAGATCGAGGGAGCCCCAAAACTTTCAGACTGGGAATTACAGACGCCCAATCCAATCCACACACAAAGTGCAATCTTTGCCTCGAGCTGTGCAGCTAGCACTGGTTAACTGACAGAGCAAGTCGTTCAAATATAGCCTTCGTTCGTTGCCCACAAAAGTGTACCGATGATGAAGCAATGTAGAAGTTCAATTAGATCAGGTTTCATGGAGAAGCAAATCTACACTTTAAAGGGTCCCGCACATCTTACGACTCTGTTGGAGGTGGCCCGCTCATTGGGTTGCAAGGTGAAGGCTTCGTTGAGGTCTCTGCTGGCGTCTGCCAATGATGGACGAAAGGTTGAAATGGAGGTCAAAGGAAGACTGAAACGCTGCTCTTAAACAAGATGCTGCAAGCGTGGCAGATTAATGCGGTTTAATGCTCTCGGATGCCTTGGTTTGTACTTTGAAAACGTTCTCGACGTTCACGGCAGGAAAATTGCATGCTTCTTTGAAGGAACGGCGGGACAGAAGCGGGTTCTATTTACCGGACCACTTTGCGACGAAGAGCTTATAAGAATTTTCTGGAATGGAGATCGGAACGCAAAGACCCGTCTTCTTCGGAACCAAGCGAAAAGCAAGATGGGCTTTTGTGGTCGAGTCGCGTCCATGCGGGCTCGCAAAACTTCAAAGGCGTCTGAACGAGGCGGTTTTCTGAGCGGCTTCGAATATGACTGACCTGCAACGTCAGGAGCGTCAAGGCATCTTCGATGAGGGTCAAGCGTCTCAACCTTGACCACTTCTCGTCCAGCGTCTGCTGCACTTTCTGAAGCAACACCTGAATCGGTGCGAGATCGTTGGAGCTGGCCAGGTACGCAAGGATTGCATCCAGAATTGCCAGGAGATCCGCTCTCGTCAAATTTTGCGCTCGCCCACGGTATAGCTCCCGAGATAGAGGGAACCAAACTGGAACCTGTAGAGGGTATTTGTGGGGAGAGCTTTGGCAATGGGTTGCGGACTTGCACCTTCAAAATCTTTTCCCTGAACGGCAAGGTCGTCGAGCTAAAAGCCTTTGCCAACATTGCGTTCAGCTTTTGACGAATTTGCCCCTTTCTATCCGACTCCAAATTGGATGTGTTTTGACGAGCAGCATCTATTGTAGGTTTGTGCACACGGTCAGGACTCGGAGATGATCCGATGAGTGAATCCGCCACCAGATGCTGAAACAAACACCGAATGATATGCGCACCTCTTTGGCTGACCCCCTTGGACCGGTTTGGAGCGACATCATCATCTGAGCGACAAGGGGCTGGATATCGTAGGAAGCGACGTCCTCAAGAAGCTTGGACATGGGTAGAATCTTCCCATGCCGGGAGATGACCGTGTTTCTGCAACCAAATAGCATATGCAAAAGCCATTTGAGAAACAACAGGTTGACAACGAGTCTTCCACTTCTATGATGAGCACGGTATTCAATTGCTAAGAATGGTGCCAGGTTCTCGTTTTGATACACGAGATCCTTCTCGACCCTTAAGAAATATAACTCTTCTGAACAGACTCGGTGAAAAAGAACAAATCTGCAAGAATCTCTAGAGCTCGAAGACGGACAAGAGCAAGCAGATAGATGTCTTTGTGGGATTTACTATGTCAGATACAGCAGACTTCTTTACGACTTGCTTCTGATGGGACCTTTCACTGTTCACTGCTTGGAAGAGCAAAAGCAGTCTTGGTTGAGCCACGTTCATTACAGGTATACGTCAAGAATGCAGGTTTATGAACAATTCACACCGGTACATGGCTCTTGATGAGGAGTGAAACAATACAGAGATCGAGCTTGGACTCCGAGTCTTTTGAAGCTGCAAAGTCAGTTGCATCAGCTTACATCGCATCACCGCTCGCTCCATCTTCCCCGGAAAAGCTCTGTGTCCGAACTTCGCCTCCCCTTGCCCAAGCTACTCCTCCAGACGAAAAATTGTCTCCACCGACATCCTGCTCGGATGAGGTACGCACTGGCTGCGAAACTTCGCAAGTCAGGGCCTCAGGTTTCAGGTTAAGGAATCTTCCAACACTGGAAGGTGCAGACCCGCTTCTCGTATTTTCCCCGTTGAGGCCCTCTCTCGTGCAGGTGGCCTCTAACTGCCCGGCCATGCTGTTCGCCCCGTTCCCAGGCGCCCAAATGTTACTACCCCGTTGTTGCTTCTGGCTCCATGGCTCGAAGGGCGTTGGATTCCGTTGCTCTGGCATCCCGGATAGCCCGTGATTTGCCACACCCACCAATTCTTCCTGTCTAGCCCCTTCTTGGAGACTGCCTGGCGTTGGTTGCTTTTTCATTGGCACCCAAAGATCGTCCTTGAAGTCGAAGACGCAGGCATACCCTGGGAGCAAGCTACCTATTCACGGAAAGAGTGGGCTGAGGATGAGTTGCTTCATCAGACGAAAGATCAAATCTGCACACTAGACCATCACAGGGTGTGTAAGCCCCCAGATCATGCAAGCAAGCAACATATAGCAAGCAGCAATGTTGTCTACAGATCTTGCATATCGTTCCCCTGCCCTTTTGTCTGCCAACAACCTGGACCTTGTGAAGCTCCACTATTTAATCACCCTTCTTCTGCACGACCTGACTGCATCATATCAGGATGTATTGAAAACATGCCAAAGACCAAAGACACTTTAGGCTTGCTAGAAGCGAATGATGTTCGCTCACATCACACTCTTCTGAATTTACTGAGGTTAATATTGCCAGAGCTCGTAATCAGCATCATACGAACTTATTGACCAGCCTAACGTTGAGAAGACAGCAAAAGCCTGCAGATACACATTGGGCTCATTTGTCACGAATTTAGTCTATGTTGACCATGCTCTCAGCAGCAAGAACGGACGTTACCTGGGGTTGTTGGGGTGCGTGGTGTCACAGTGTAACAAAGGCACCCGGTGTTGAGATCGCCGCCAAAATCTGCAATCTTCGGTTAGGCTTGAGAAGCATAGAAGAACATCATTGCCTACTCAACATGCATTGGATAGTTCTCTGCCCGTTTGCTCTGATCTCATGGGAGGCCCCAACTGAGACTTTGCCTTTGACTCGTATCAGCAACTGCTTCTCCCGATGATCAACTTCTACGTTCACATTACCAACTCCCAAGATCAAGTGGACAGCTTGGAAACATCTTGGGAGTGATTACATAGCAGTGAATCAACAGCTGACAGGATCAAAATGTGCAGCACTAGAGAGGAGTCATGTAATCCAAACAAAAGTGCATAAATAGCTAAGACTGACCAAATATAATTGACAGGACTCAAGATGGAAGGCTTACCTTGTAATGCTTCCAGCTTCCTCAAGAATGACACAGTCAGCTTCTCCCTTGTCATCGGAGTGGGCATTGTGATCTCGTCCTTGAAGAACTTGTCCTTGAACTTTTCGTTGAAAGCTGCCGGGGAATCATGCCTAAATCTCTTCTTCAGGGCATCCTTTGGCCAGAAATATTTTGCATACAGCTGGGGGCAGGGCCCATTCGATCCGCACTGTCTACGAGCGCGCAATATCTCATCCCATAGGACATTGCTCCGCTTTTCAACCCCGTCCCACCAAGCCTTGTCAAGGCTCCATCTATCAACTTCGTCATGACTCCAACCTGCTCGCTTGAGAACAAGGGCCATCAGGAACGATGAGTTTATCAAAGCGGCTTTTTCCTGAGTGGTGGTTGGATGCTGAAGGGAAGCAGCATCAGCAGGACCTTGCCCAGCTGACCCATGAGGGTCTTGCAGGGCCTGCTCGTGTGCGCTAGTCAGCTCAGAGACCAGCCGAGTTGATTCATTATCGGTGCGTGGAGCATCCATCCTGCAAATCCTGCTTTAGACTTCCAACGTATTGCTTTTTTGCCTTCAAAAGACTGGCAGGCAGCGGGCCATCAGACCGCTATAAGGTTTTGGTCGGGTATAGGAACTGTTGACGGACAGACAGGGTGCTGCCACCCGTGCTGCCGCTTCAATGGCGCCATTGTCCTACAGCCTCAGGTAGGGAAATCTGGATAGAAAGCATGTTCTACCACAGGTACCTACCACAGGTCCAGTACTGAAGGTATCGTGTCTCCAATGCTGGCCAGTGGCAATGGAGCGCATTGCAAAGAATGGCAGCAGACTACCTCTACTGTAGTTGCGCCCAATGGCAGCAAGCCACCTGGCACCCCACCCCGCCCCACCCCGCCGACGATCGGATCCGACGTGGGGCAGGCAATCATTCGGCCTGTTAACCGGTTAAATTGAAAAAGTCGGGAACTACCGTACTACCAAGGTATGATTCCGAATGCTCAAAATATGCAATTATTTTACAGAATGCGAGTCCAAATCTTGTCTTATTTTCCGGAATCCGACCGTAGATCCGAATGGGTTCAAAGGTACCCAGGTACCCTTATCTCCTGGCTTTTCAAGGGCTACCGGTACGTACCTCAGTTCATATGGGCTTTTACATCACTTTCCGAACAGGATTTAGCAATTAATTTCCCCTTCCGAAAAAGCAGATTCCGACTGCTTATTTGGAGTTTCCAACTTTCCGAATGCAAATAATTATTTATTTATTCGGAATCATACCTTGGTAGTACGGTATACCGTAGCTACGGTCGAGAGCCGAGACAAACAGTTGGACCTGGGCATTGTCACCCGTCAAAACCGTTCGTATTTCTATGCCCTGCTCACCGGGTGGATATCTGCGTCTGGGATTCCCGATGATGCTCTAGCTGGAGCTGTGCAATGTGGGACCACATAGTGGGTCCTCACCAGTGTATATATCGGACGGTAAGAGCCGATGACCTATGTGTATGTAGCTACTACAGTACTCCAAAAGTCGAGCCCAGTGGCGGCCAGCCAGTGCGTGTGAAGATCATGGACAGACTGGCTACAAGAGGCGATGGGGACCATTTCAGCAGACACAAGCTTGAGCCTTGAGAGGTGCGTGACCAAGCCGTGACCAACTCAAGCATATATATATATAGCGCAGTGAATCGCTTTGTGCGCTTATTCCAACTCAGCACAGGCACACCGAAGCAACAGCAGCCAGCTCTAGCTGCTGCGCACAAAGTGCTGCAACTAGAATCTGCCCGCCATGGATCCGCTGGGCAGCTCCACATTCGTTGTACTCTTCCTGCGAGCAGTGTTGCTCGACCTGTTTCCAAATGCAGAAAAGATTGAGGAGTTCCTGAATGCGGCCGGCATCGAGGACTGCGGTGGGGGGCGCAAGCCAATGGTGGTCCACTACCTTTACAGCATGGTGGACGACCTTCTGAGGGACACAAGCGCCGGCGGGTAAGCTCAAATTGATACATGGTTACCAGCTTTGCCTTCGTCTGAAAGATTCTTGGCAGTGCACTTCTCATACACACCTGCTCCATCAAGGAAACCTGAGAAAGCTTACTTACAAAAATCCAATTGCTCACACCCAGAAAAGCTTAGTGAAAGGGCCCACTGGCAGAGTAATCAACAAATCATGAGCCAAGCAGGGCATGACCAGTGCCTGCGAATCAATCAGAAGTCCGAAACTTGTCTCTTGACATTACGACTTTTTGAGCTTGATGAAAGGTGAAAACTTGAGTGACCAGTGTCCTTTCTTTCTCAGATTTCAGAATGATGCTGATTCATCACCAGAAAGTCTGTTTGCAGTACATAGGGCATCCCAATGGGTTTCCAATGTAGTGGGCTCACCAAACGTCCATCTGCATCTCAATCTAGAAGCTCACAGAACGACAGAAACGTGACATATTTTTATGCAGGCTGGACGACGTTGTCGCTGACGCCAATGAGAACATACGAGCTGCTGACGTCATCTTCAAAGACGGAGACACCCTCTCGTTGGAAAGCCTCGTGGCTGGCCTGTACCATGGTTTGAACCAGTATATGGCGGACAACAAAAGTCTGACCGACAAGGTGAGGCTAGAGGATGTGTGAACGGGCCATGCTTGTGTGAAGGTGGTTTCTCGAGTAGATGGAGATTCACTGCGGGCTTTCACGTTGTAAAATTGGTGTCTTGCCTCGTCACAACAAGTCCTCAGACCTGTATGCTTTTGAGCAGAAAAGGAAGCTGAGGGTTTTGGGAGCATGCATGCTTGAAGAAGGCCAATAGTAAGCTGGTTGTGCTCTGAAGTGAAGAAGGCCAGTGTGCACGTGGGGGCCGTTCAGAATATGCAGTGTCAAGCCTATGCGTCGTGCAGAGAAGAAGCAGTGGGGCTTCTAGGAGGGCTGTAGCTATCAGGTGTTCAAAATCATCAGGTACAACCGCTTACAGACCTCCTTTATCGACTTGAAGTCCGGATTTTCTTATGAATGCGGTCACCTCGTCCATTCTGAAAGCTCATTCCTTTTTTTCTGATCCCAATTAATGGCATCCAAGGCTTCTCCGAACGACAGGCTTGCGCTACTTCCAACAGACTCGCCTCCATCACTTTCCTTCGCAGATCTCATGGCCCAGGACATTCGGTGTGCCGCGCTGCCAAAAACTCGGCCGGCGCGGCCTCCTCGCGGCAATCGACTACTTTTTGGCCCGCGCCAAGGAGGATCCCGCGCTGTGCCGGGCCCTCCTCGCCTACCTTGACAACTGGTTCAGCGACCCCAGCAGCCGCCACTGCGTCATTGCGGTGCGAGCACGCGCGCGCGCCTGCCTGAATTACCTCCTCGGTGCCGCTGACGACACCACCCAGGATGCAGACGTCAGCAGCCAGATCGGCGCTGTGCTCCTTGGTGCCGCTGACGTTGCCACCCAGGACGTCGACTTTTTCACCCAAAACGGCGCTCTGCTCCCTGCGGACGCAGGCGACGACATCTTCCAGCAGGTGAGCGCAGACAAGAGACACGTAGTAAGCTCTACAAACAGCGTCGTCTTTTTGAGCCTTTTCACTTTGGTCCACGATTGGATTGTCTTTCGTCCGGTGAAAGCGGTCGAGGACCTTGGACGCTCTTCTTGCTTTTCAACTTCGTGTTGAACATCTGGGTCCACGGCGCCTTAAACAGATCGGAATGCGGGACGACATAAAAATATGATTGTTTTGCTAGACTCCTTCCTGCTGGCGGCTTAAAACACAATCATCCTCAAGAACAGGCTTGCGAAGATAGCGGCACGTGACGCAGTTGAAGTCTAAAGCGCCCTGCGTGTTTTGCAGGTGGATAAGCCGTGGTCGCCCTTCGACGTAGCGCGCGACCTGGTTCGCAACGGAGACGCGCCCCTCGTTCTCGACTGCCTCGGCCCTGTCGCCATGGAAATGGCGGAAGGCGAGGACGCTGTTGATGCGGCGCATGATCTGGAGATGCAAGCTGCGTTTCTTTAGAAAGATCTGGAGACGTTCTGGGCAACTGCCAACGGGCTCGATTTTGGAGTCTCGCTAGAGGGCTTCACAGCCTGAGCCCGTATATATAGAGACGTAAGGTTGTCAAGAGTTACAGTAATCTATTTTGTAGTACGTGCGCAGCAATAGACAGGAGCATGTGTTGTTGACTAAGTATTTTTCCGTGTATGTATAATGAACGGGTCAGTGGACCCGCATATATACTCCGCTAGAAGGGAACCTTACTCCAGTGAAGACTACTTCAGGGTGGACCATGCTCTGAAAGGAGCGACGTTTGTACAGTTGGACAGCGTCGTTGTAGTGATCGAGTTATGTAATTTGCGACAAGGCTCAAGCTTTCGTACGATCGCTTTTGACGTTGCCAGTATACCGCACAGTGAGTTTGAGTACTTTGTTGAGCAAGCCTTACACTGTACACATGCAGAGGTAAATCGAGCTTCTTTGCGTGCACCCTTTCCTTCTACTTGCACTACGCGTCTCCTAATCGTGGGAGCATGTTTTGAAAGCGTCTGAGGCGGCTGCCTTACAGCACGCCATTCGAGCTCCCATGCATAGTCCATATGCAAGACCTTGTGCATCCGTTGCAGCTAGGGCTTCCATGTCAACATGCATGCTTTTCTCGATCGTCGTCTCGTATACAAAGGGAACCGGTGCAGATGTCCGTTCCCAAGCGGTCAATCACAAGCAACAGCTTCCGGGCCGGGACATGGTCCTGTCGTACGGGAATACGCGGTCGGCTTTCTAATGCAGAGGCGAATCAGAGTCGCGGTCGAGCGAGCCTTGGAATTCTCTTGAAGTGCTTGTGCATGTCGGCGCGGCGCCCTGCGGGAATACTTTTGAGGCAGCGCCTATTCATGGGACCTGAGAGTGTGCTGTGCTTGGATTGGTCGCTGATTACCTCGGAAAACTTATTTAGGTAGCGGATCGCGCCATACAGCATGTCCATATTGAGCTCTGTATATTTAGGCACCTGACCGGCAGCAGATATTGGACAGTCGGTTGGTCGCCGGGCCAACATTTCTTGTTGTTTCTTTCCACCCATAGCATGTGCAAGCTGCGGGCCTCTTCTAGCTGCAGTACGAGTATGAACCCAAGGCAAAAGGCAGCCGTCATATGGAAGTCGCCGTGCGTCGACCAGGCTGATACCTTTACTTTCTGTTCCGACTGGAACTGTATACAACGACGTCTTTCATTTGGAATGGCGGCCGCTTCGCATCAGATTGGACAGATTGATGAGGGTTCGATTGGGCTAGCTGGTAATCTGGATCATGAGTCCGTTCATCAGAAGATTGCTACATACAAGAAGAGCTTTAGACACGTGACATTCATCGGCCACCAAGATACGTTCTACAAACCAATCAAATTGGTAGCCACCAGACCTTCTGCCTAACTGGCGCCCAGATTAGCTTTAACGAGTCGGACAGCTTTGCGCCACTCTATTCAAACTTATCTGTTCCCATCCCCTTAATATAAATCTACTCATCAAAATCCACCCTTTTTCGAACCGTGGCAGGCTACACAGACGTGTTTCCGGTTCGTCTACCTGCAACAACGTATCCCGAGAGCGTGCGATCAAACTTTCGTACACTCAAACGGTCCAGGCAGCAGATACTTTACGAGTGTTAGAAATCAGACTTTCAGACGACACGAGCCGCCGTAAGTACGAAGTACCTTCCGTTCTGCAGAATGAATACGGGAAGTGCAAGAGAAATATTCAAGATGGGCAGAGAAGAATACCGTTCGTCTCTCATTCCCTTGCAAAATGCTGCTCTCCAGTTGCGTCGACCGATATCTCTGCTGAAGCAAGTAAGGAAGCTGATGCAGCTCCGAAGTTGCATCGAAAACAAAACAATACCAACATATTTAAGATTAAAAGCATTCATCCCAGCTCTCACCTTGGTAATCTGGTGAAAGATCTGCGTGGGACAAGTTGTCACTGCACTGCTTCTTGTGGCTCGCCCAGTGGAGCCTCTGGTGTTCCTTGCTGTCAAGAAGGGAGTGAGAGTGTATCAACAAAAGTTCCAAACGAGCTGTTTTCAATCAAGTTCCTAAGAAATTCGATTGAAAACGGCTCACGTAGATTTTGGCGTGCAAACTCTACCTGAAGCAGAACGTCACGTAGACTTTGCACGCCCAACGCTGTCCAATGCTCTCATTGAACAACCCAGGATATTGGCGTAAAATATGAAACCTGCATCGAGGACTTTAGAAGACTGAATTGAAACCGGATCTGGGTCGACTGAAGACGTTCGTTGCTGACCACTCGAGGAGGCTCTCTTTTTGCACAGGAAGAACTTCGTAGATTAGGTGCGGAAGCCCAGTTGATTTTGTTGGACAGGCAGAAAGTGCGCATCATATCAGAGTAGTGCTTCCCAGCATTTTCAACAACTGCCATCCGTTCTAGATGTGCAAGGTTACCTGAGAGATCTCATTTAGTCACAATATTTGGCCGGTTCGCGGCTCTTTTCGGCGTATGGCAACGACCCAGCGCAACGACTGTCGTGAGCACAATGCGTACTGTGAACGGAATCCAATCGAAGCGAACGCCTTTTCAGCAGTGCGGAGTCAGCTATGACGAGATTTTTCTCATTGACCTCAAAGTGGTGGGCGTCGACTTCACGGCTGCCGACAACACCGCCCGCCACGCTGACGTCAACCCCGGCCGCGGTGAGGTCATCCTGTGCGCGGGTACGGTGGG